GAAATAGAATTGGGAAAACACGGACGTCTAAAAAAAACCCTATCACATACATCGATAAAGATGATATTGGTGATTTTGAAGCACCTGCAGATAAAACCTCATGGGGGAGTGGTGGTGGTGGTGGTGGAGGGGGGGGGGAGATAACTGTGTGAAATGTAAGCAGCACAAGAGTTTAGCAACGACTATCATAACATGAAAAGACGGCACACTTGCATCCGTATGTGGCCGGGGTCTTCAGGGGAAGCAAAGAATAGAACTAGTTTGCATGTCGTAAGAGGTGGCTTAGGAAGGTTGCAATGAGACTGACTTCGTAGTACATGCAAATGGATATAATAGAATGGATAAACTAGAATGGATGCGCTGTCATGAATACACTAAAATGGATACACTACAATGCATACACTATAATGATACATGGATGCACCATAAAGGAGACACTATAATGGATAAACTATAATGGAACCACTACAATGAACACACTACATTATGTACACTGTAATGGATACATGGATACACTACAATGAGCACACTACATTATGTACACTGTAATGGATACATGGATACACTACAATGAGCACACTATAATGGACACACTAGATTGTTTAGCAGAAATATCCGACTTATCATTGTCAAATCTACTAAGAGTTTGGCATAAGTTCACTGTAGGCTTATCATCCAATCGAAGATTTAAAAATAAAAAACACGGAAAAAAGGTAGACAGAAAGAACAAAATTAAAGAAGATAAAGGCACGAGAGGCGCACCAGACTGATAAGGAGTCTAGTTAACCATCATAGGCAGGGGCCACTACTAACCAAGGTACGCTGATGTATGTTTTGATTTCGGAAACTGAACACCTATGGTCGTGTCCGGAGGTACAATTTGAAAAACCTAAATAATGATTCGTATCTTACCACCATCATCATTCTGGTCTGATGTGTCGTACTTTATCTCTCGCCCGGGGTCAAAGTTCATACTTTCTTCATAGTCCATTTCATGGTCACTGCCGTGTGGGGAGTGTCCACTTTCTGTGGAAAATATCAGAAAAGATTTTATAATTTCTGGGGGAGAATATACACATAAGACTGTCACCTTTCTGCGGAGAATTTATTTACAAGATTTTATAATTTCTAGCGAGAATATAAAAAAAAAAAGATTAATAATTTGTGGGGAGAATATAAAGATAAGACTTTCACCTTTCTGGTGAGAAAATAAACATAAGACCGTCGCCTTTCTGTGGAGAATATAAAGCTAAGACTGCAACCTTTCTGGGGAGAATATACAGAAAAGACTGTCACCTTTCTGGGGAGAATATAAAGATAAGACTATCACCTTTCTGTGGAGAATATAAACAAAAGACTGTCACCTTTTTGGGGAGAATATAAAGATAAGACTGTCACCTTTCTAGGGAGAATATAAACATGAGACTGTCATCTTTCTAGGGGCGAATATAAACATAAGACTGTCACCTTTCTGGGGGCGAATATAAACATAAGCCTGTCACCTTTCTGGGGAGAATATAAACATATGACTCTCACCTTTCTTGGGGCGAAAATAAACATAAGACTATCACCTTTCTGGGGAGAATATTAGTCTTGCCACTGTGGAATAAAAGTAGACGGTCGTATTTACTCCCCTGAATATCAACTGAACCACATATCTAGCCAGGTTCGAATCCTAGGAATCACAGCCAATGTCGATGGCGAGTGTGACTAGCAAAACCCACTCGCGTTAAGAAGAGTCTTATACAGTTAGAACATGGATTTCAAGGACCACTGTTGCTATAGTCTGTGCGACTATTGAACGTGATTGCAAGTGCACGCGTCTACTCACCGTTGTTTGCAGAGTCGACGTCTGACGAGCATTTCTCTGACGGTGCAGGACTTAACATGCTGGCTGTCAAAGGAAAGAAGTGTGGAACAGATGAATAACAATGTAATAAGTGCTGCATTTGTTAGTTTTGACCCCCCCCCCCCCCTTTTTTTCCCCCAAAGGGAGGAGGGAGGAGAGGGGGAAAGAGGGTTTCAGAGCAGGGCTACCGAAGTTGGTACCTTTGTCCAAATTTAGTGCTATTTCATCTTTGCTAACCGAAACTGTACTTTTGGTACCGCCTCCGATGTATTGGTATGTTTCAGAAATTGTGCATCAATATTTTTAATTTTTGGCATTGTTTTGAATCTTTTTGAGTAAACATTATTGCGTAAGTAAGTAGAGTAAAGAACCCTTTTCCACGCCTTTAGGCGTATAGGGCATATTGGGCTAGACCTATATTTTATATAGACGAAACGACACAATATGGGTAATGTGGTCAGCATCACGCCGGTCGCCTTTACTTCCCGGGACTGCACCCGGTACCCAAAGAAGGCTGGGTCGACCTGGAAGTCAAGGTCGTTTATGAAAAAAATTCCCGCTCAACATTTTTTTTGAGAATACAGAAAATAAAGGGAGTAGCTGTGGCGTTGACGGCTAGACGCCAGCCTGCCAATCGGAAGGTCGTGGGTTCGCGTCCTGAAGGAGCCGGACTTCCTATATTCCTAATAGGCCTAGAGGCGTGGACAAAGGGACTTTTACTTTACTTATACAGAAAATAAATGCGATGCTATTGTTTCCTTGTGTCCGGAGTGTTTCGATAATCCAAGTCACAACCCATAATTCATATGAACTTTACATCCATAAGTTTCTCTATTGAAGTAGTGGTTTTCCCCGTATGCGTGCGTGGGTAGGGAGAGGCAGTAGGGAATATAGCCACTGTCCCTTCAACAAGCATTTCGTGTGAGGCGACAAATTAGGGAGCGTTTTCTTTGAAGACAGAGTGCATTTAATGACCAAGAGGCTCGGATCAAACAGTCGCTATTCAGATAAGACTAGATCTGTAAAACGGATGTGCATGCAGAACTCTGGAACAAGGCCAAAGAAAGTTTAGAAGTGGACGAACAAGCAAAACATTCAGCCCAAGTTGCAGCCTTGAGCTCTAACAAGAAGCACTGGTTTGTACATTTAATATTATTCATTATCAAATTTTCTTCTTTAGCACACAATAATAATAATAATAATAATAATAATAATAATAATAATAATAATAATAATAATAATAATATATTTGTAATAACGAGTTGTTCTTAAGTTGCCCATACATATACCAGTTGCTTCAAGAATTTTTGACTACTTTTTCTGAAGCTGCCAAATACCAGATACCTCACGACCAACCCAATTGACATGAATATACCCAGTACCATAATACTTCTTCTTCTTCTTCGCGTTCACCGGCTGTAAACTCCGGCGGAAAGTTCTGGTTGTTTGTTCACTTCTGGACTGCAGTCCTGTTCCAGAACCTGAGTGTTGCGTGTGCATCAGTTTGACAGATCTGTATTCAGACTGTTGGTTCCTTGCCTCTCAGGCAGATGCACTCCGACTTCGAAGGAAGTTCCCAATTAGTCGACTTTTACGACACGCTTTTGGGTAGGCATTGGGTCTATTCTTGTTTTTTCCCATAGTAGGGACCCGGAACCCACAAAGGGGACCATAATACTATCCAAGACCTTTTGATGTGTTTTTAAGCTGCCGAAATACTACATAAATCCTCAGAACATCGCAGAACCGATTACGTAACAACATGTACACAAAATTCAAGATAGGTGTATCAGCCATGTGCACCTGTGGAAAGGTGCCCCAGACAGCAAAGCATGTACTCCAGGACTGCACCGAATTTGACGCATTAAGGCAAACCTTTTGGCCAGAAAGAACAACAGTGGAACGTAAACTCTATGGACCACTGAATAAACTAACAATGACAGTGAAATTTATACAAGAGACAAAACTGCTGATATAGACAACTTATTTCAGGCGAACGAAAGGAGAAGAAGAAGAAGAAGAAGAAGACTACATAAATACTGCATGGTGTACTGAAGTATTTTTAAACTTCACATGTATGTGACATCATAGGAACTAATGCAGTGTACTTAAGCTATTCACTTGCCCTTGCGGCTTCTTACTTACTGTGTTTACTTAGTCGCTTCTCATCTACCTTGGGGTGTAGAGGTTTGCCAGAAAGATCGCCAGACTTCTCTGTTAGCAGTTTTCCTTTTCGCTTTGTTCCATTCCAGTCCTCTGTCAGTTAGAGACCGTCTATGTTGTCTTCCCAGCGGACCCTGGGTCGCCCCTGAGGTCTAGTTCCCTGTTTCTTAGCCTTCCATGCCTGCTAAGGTAGCTAATTTTCTCCCATTCTGCATAGATGTCCAAACCATCGCAACTGTGACTGATCCACTCTGGTTTGTAAGGCTTGGGTATCCAAATCTTGACGTATTGTATATTGCGGAGTTTGTCCTGTCTTGTCACTTGGACCACATTTCTGAGGCCTGAACCTGAGAGGGAGGGGGAGGGAGCGGCGGGTAGGTTCAGGGCTCCATTTGTGGTTTAAAAAAAAAAAGGGGGGGTGGGGGGGTTGGACGGGGAGAATAGATCCATTACTGTCTAGCATGTATATTGTGAAAAGAGACTAATTCAGGTTTGTTGTAATCGGACCTACACGTTGTTCTTAAACTTTCGACACACCATCCTACAATGAACGTGAAATTATGACAACAGAGATGAAATGCCTTAAAAGAGCTGCAGGAGTTTCAAGGACAGACAGAATACGAAATCACGAAATCAAACGAATGCTAGGAATAAAGCCAGTCCTAAAATTAATCAAAGAACAAAAAATGAAATGGTTTGGACACCTAACAAAAATGCCCTGGTACTATCTGCCACAGCGAGCCACACTAAAACGTTACAACGGGTATAGATCGAGTGGAAGACCTAGGAAAATATGGAGTGATGGCATTAAGAACAGTCTTACAGAAATAAACATCAGTCTCAGTAGTGCTCTAGACAGAGCTTATCAACGAATGTTACATCTCCTCTGACACTTCGATGAGGTACAAGGTGGAAGAGAAGAAAAATAAGAAAAAATAAGACGGAGCCGATTACCAGCTAAGTGATTCTCAAACTGTGGTCCACTTACCAGGCACTCCAGGACCTCCAGTGCTGGTCTCCTCGTCAACAGAAAATATTAGGCTGCCCGAGTTTGAGCAGGTAGCATTGCTGATGCTGCTGCAGACAGGCGCTTGCGGCTGTGGGCGTATAGGAATGTACAGAGATCGACCATTTTGTGCTGGCAACGGCCTTGGCAAGGTGTCTGTGGGAATGGAGAATTCATGGAGTTGTAGAAGTTGAAGAATTAACTACAACACACACACAAAAGCGAAATGACTAATGATTTGTAAGGCAAAAGTGGAAGATGGTGGTATTTCACTTTTTATAGCTAACAGTTACTGTAGGATTGAAGTTTGAAGTTTGAACAACGAATCAACATCATGGCACACGGGTAGTAACCCATAAGTGCCCCGTTCTTCTTCTAACTCAAGTCTGAGTCCGAAGAAGCTTAGCACAGTGCACAGGCTCTGTAGCACCAGCGAGGACCCTGACATACTTCGGGTCGATTTTTAACTCTAAATTTTGTTCGGACAGCGCGGTTAACTACTCTTTTCGATTTCCAACTGCCAAGGGATTTTTTTTAACGTGCGCAACACTATACACGGGCGTAAAAATCTCACTACACAGAGACGGGGGAGGGGGGTGAGGGGGGGGGGGTTTGGATTACTATAATTCCAAATCCACGTGAAAAAATCCCAGCCCTTACTCGGGAATGAGCCTAGAACCTCTAGCACTAGAGGTTACACGGTGCCTTGAGACCACGCATGGAATAACGATTTTCACGAAAGAAGCAGTTAGCACTTTGGCATGGTGCCAGCGATTCTGACTGCATTCTTATCATTATGACTGTCATCCGCTGGTCGGTTGTGGGGCAACATTCTGTGTGTGATTGGAAGAAATTATAGCAGAAGTCATGGTACCAGGAAGGAGGGGCAGGGGCCAGCCATCACGAAGATGGGCACAGGATATAAGTGACTCCTTGAGTATGAAAGTACATGAGGAGGGAGAACTGGCTGGAGACCGAGTTTCTTTCAGGTAGACCGTGATGAGAGCGACGTTCTGCAAAGGACAAGCTTCACGATGATGATGTGTGTGTGTTTGTGTGTGTGTGTGTGGAGGGGGGGGGGCATCGGAAAACATCTGCTTGAGAAGAGAGGAACCACAAGTCTGCTTTTAAATATGCAAGTTCGAGGACAAGACCAGAGTCGAGAAGTGGACGAACAATCAGAACTTTCTCCGACGTTTACAACCGGGGAACGCACAAAGAAGAGGAAGATTATGGTTATCGGTCACTACAGTCGTAAGGTGTAACTGCAGTGGTTGAATATTAATGTCTTACCTGCGCCAGGTGAGAGAAAATGTGCAGGTGCCGGCAGGAAGATGGGCGATCTCAGGTAAGCAGGACCTGCAGACGAACAAGAACAATGATCTATCAGAATTAGGAATACTACTACGTAAATACTTACTAAATCAACAAATAGATTAAGATTGGTCATGAAAGCAAACGGTCGGATGTTACTTGGTTCATATCCGAACTGATGTGAATTATTAATGTTCCCATACCCTCTCAGTCTAAACTGAGAGATTCAAGGAAATGCCCTTGAAAGTAAAGGTCGCTGAAGTGCCAGTGAGTACTTATACCACCTGGTGCTAGATGGTATATATATATATACATTATTTATATAGATAAATATTTATATGTATGCTCCAGACTAAGTCGGCTCTGTGGCTAAGTCGATGCGAACGCTTCGTAATGTGGGGGTGCCGGGTTCAATCCCAGCTGCGGGCCATGCGCCTTGGTTTCGACTTTGGCATTAAGGGGCGACCTTCCAGAAAGCAATGGCAAACTACTGGACGTAAATTTGCCTAGAGAAACTACACAACAGCCAGGGGCTGCTGGGGTTGGTTCTGCAACGTCCTGTAAAGGATAAGCAACTAACCTTGTATATGTGAATAAATACACATAGACATATGGGTCAAACTTAACAGGCTCAACGCACAACAAGGATTCGCAACTACTATCGTATGTGTAGGACATACCTATAAATCATGGCTATTTAACTGAAGGCCTGCTGGCTAAATCTGGCCTGCAGAAGCCAAGCAAGTGGTCATCGAGGTGCCCCCCCCCCCCTAAGGTTCAGGCGCCCTTGCTCATTGACAGTCTTTAGAATGTTTGCCACAGAAAAGGCTCATCCAGGCAAGAAACAGTGGAAACGTCGACCGAAAAGCATACAAATCGTAGATATCTTGTAAAAGGGCAAAACTCAATTGCTTCCTCTGATAAATGAAGAAGAGTAGGAGGAGGAGAGCAGGAGGAGGAGGATGATAATAATAATAATAATAATATTAATTATAAGAAGAAAAGAAGAAGGAGGAGGAGAAGAAGAAGAAGAAGAAGAAAAACTAGATGATGATGATGAAGAAGAAGAAGGAGGAGGAGGAGGGAAAGGAGGGGGAGGGGGTGTGGATGTTGACTTACTACCTCGAAACAAAAGTGAAAAATCTACTAATTAGTACTTCGATGAAATGATATTCGTTTGGGCTACAGACGCATGTATCGCTGCCTTGCTGAAAACAACGACGTAACGTATCCAACCACTCTTTGAATGTCGAACAAAACAGAAGTGTGTACAACAATACAGCGACAGCTTACGTATGATTTCTAATGAATCTACTGACTGTCCATGATTTACTTCCACACATCAAGATTGGCTGTATGTATCTCAGAACCCACCAACCCCCTTTTCTAAAAATACAAAAATAAAAAACATTTTTTGGGTGTCGCGGAACCTATGTCCTCGAATTCCGACACCTTTGAATGTAAATTGCCTTCAAGACCTTCTATCTCGTGAATAACATCCTGTGCATTAGACCTCCCTCTTTGGATGCCCGAAAGAGAGTACTAAAACGTTATTTAGAACCTATACTGCTGTATTGTAGTGAATCATGGAATGTGAATGCACAAATTAGAAATAACTTGGAGGCGACGGAGATTAGGTTCCTCAGACGAAGGTGAAGAATCCCTTCGACTGCTAGAGTAACTAACGAGCATTGCTTGAAGGAAGCTGATGAAAGCAGATCGATATATACTGCTATAAGGAAAAGAAGAGCACTGTTCTTTGGTCATGGGATTAGGGGGAGGATTTAGAGAATATTGTGACGACTGGGAAGATCAAGGGTAGAAGAGGGAGAGGCAGATCAAGAGAGGCGACGGTGACACGGAGAGATATCATCGGTGGAAATGTTCCAGAGGATAAGGGACCGAAATCTGTGAAGAAGCATGAGCGGTACGCCAGTCGTCAGGGCACATGATGATGATGACGACGATATCACCTGAACTGATTCAGATACACTGCGAAGATTTTTTTTCATTATGCAATATCGGTGACCAGGTCGCCCACTGGTTGGCCAGTAGACGACTTCGTCGCCGATCGGGTCAGTATTTGGGTCTGTCTCCTCTGATCGCATCAACACCGCAGGAGTCCTTTTCAGTACTACTTGGTGGCGACAAATGCTACGCCATTTTATATGCCGCAAATAACCTAGTCATAATTATAACCTAACGCTCCCCCCTGGTTGAACGTAACGATTTTTATTTCTCAAAAAAAAAACAATGCGAAAAACAATATATAACAAGCTTTTTCGCTGAAGCTATTCTAAATGTAACTTAACTGACACAATTTTCATAAGTAGTTGGCAGCTTATTCTCAGCATAAATTTACATAATAAAACATCTTAATACAAACAACGAAACAATTATTTCAGCAAGCAAACAGTAATCACAATTACGTCAAAGTAAAACATTTACCAAAGAAAAGGCTGTCCCAATAGCTGTAATACATTTTGAGGGAAATAACTCCAAGCCGCGAGTCCTTTCAGTAAGTAAACAAAGGTAGATAGAGACAACAGGATTTTTCTTCAGTTTATAACGTCACTGTTATAGTTAGTTTGTATCCGTTTATGAGAGTAAATTATATTCACGTTTATAAATTCTATTCACGTGCTTAATGTATTTTCAAAATTGTAACATGTCCGGGCATTTCGTCTGAAAAAAAAAAAAGAAAGGTATTTGTAAACAACTATTTAAAATAGTTATGAATATGTAAACACTCGCGTCTGAGTTCGGGCGTCCGTCGCGAGGAAAACAAGAATAAGCATGTCGTATAAGTCGATTATCTGGGAGCTACGAGTAATAGAAAGTGTACTTGTAAAACGTCGGTGTCTGTGGCTTAGGCGTTACGAGCGCTTTGTAATGCCGGAGTGCTGGGTTCGATCCCAGCTGCGAGCCTTGCGCTTTGCGTTGGTTTCGACAATGGTATCAAAAAGCCGACCGCACAGAAAGCAATGGCAAACTACTGGACGTAAATTTGCCTAGGAAAACCACCATAGCCAAAAATGCTGAGGTTGGTTCTGCAACGTCCTGAATAGGATACGCAACTAATTAATTATCTTGTAAAACACTGTAAATTTAAAGCAGGTATCAATCTATGATAACACCGTAAATATTCTTAGCAATTACTAAAACGCAATAATTATGAGGGGAAAAAAATTACGCAAATCCCCTTTAAATAGATCGGAGATGAACACTCAATGCGAGCCTAACCTTCCGCATTAGTGCTTTACAACTGGTAAGTGTTAATTGAAAAGGTACATGCCTCTTTCGAATACATATCACATTTTCAGGTCCGCTAGTTACGTATCTATGTCGTTACGGGTCGGTTGTTTTACTTTCCCATTCTAGATTTCTCAGGCGAAATTTATCTTTACAAATGCTCTTTTTGAATAGTTTGCCCCCATGTACTCTCCGGGCCCCGTTTTGGGAGAGTCAGGGGAAAAAAAGGGGGTGGGGGGGGGGGGGACGGGCATACTGCCCTCTAACAAAAATGTCGTACAGGACGAAATATTTGTGGGAGTTCTTTTTTTACGAGTCAGTGCGCATCTTTTTTTTTAAGAGGCGAAGAACCAACAGTCTGCACATACATAGGTAGGATCTGAAAAAATGGATGAACGGATGTGCGTATAAAACTCAAGTTTAGGGGCGAGACCAAAGTGCAGATGTGGACGGACAACCAACATTTTTCGCCGGTATTTACAGTCGGTGAACGCGAAAAAGAAGGAGGAGGAGGAAGGGAGGATGAGAAAAAGGAGAATAAAAAGAAGAAGGCAGTATCTTGTGGGAAGCCGCCGTGTGTAGAGGCTAGACACCTGTGGAAACGAAGGTCATGGGTTCAAATCCGCATGCAAATGGATTTGTTTCAAGCATGGCCTTGAGGAGAGTGCTGAAGATAGAATGGGGATACATTCAGAAGGAGTGAAGAAATAAGAGCAACCACTAGTATCAAGACCGAGCAGACCAAGAAGACGATGAAGAGATAATGTCCAGGCAGACCTGCAAACACTTGGTGTCACCAACTGGAAAGAGAAGGACAACCAGAGAGATGAGTGAGGGCGGGTAATATCTGCAGCAATGAACCTCAAGGGCTCCGAATGCTGAAGAAGACCAACCAGAGAGATGAATGGAGGCGGGTGATATCCGCAGCAATGAACCTCAAAGGCTCTGAATGCTAAAGAAGACCAACCAGACAGATGAATGGAGACGGGTGAAATCTGCAGCAATGAACCTCAAGGGCTCCGAATGCTGAAAAAGACCAACCAGAGAGATGAATAGAGGCAGGTGATATCTGCAGCATTGAACCTCAAGGGCTCCGAATGCTGAAGAAGAAAAAGACTAGTATCAAGAGTTATATGAGAGAGAAAGTGCCACTACATTGGACCCATCCTGAGTCGAAAGCAGCAGAAAATAATTAAACAGACATTACATTGGGACATGATAGGATTAGGGACGCAAAAAAAGAAACCATGAGACGAACGCTGATTAGAGAGGCCAAAGCTGCTGGACTGGGCTCCATCTATGATATTAAACCGACCGCACAGGATAGAACGGAACGGAGAAATCGACAGCTAGCCCTACACAATAGGATAATGAATTGTAATACAACTTTGAGCTGACCACTGGCACATAGCTTTAGATACTTTTTATGAGTTCTAGAAAGAAAGAAAGAAAAGACCCTGGTGGTTGTATTAGTAGTAGTAGTAGCAGCAGCAGCAACAGCAGGAGTATGAATAAGAATCTTATCAGTATTTTAATGTTAAATGTTTGAATTCTTTTTCTGTAAGATCCGCCAGAAACTCAATCCTGGTTGTTCGTTCATTTTGAATTTGACTCTGTGCCAGGGCCTTAGTTCTGCGTGTACATCCGTTTTACTGACTTATTTGTGTGCTGTTGGTTGTTCCTTGCCGCTCGGGCAGATGCACCTCGACTTCCAAGGAAGTCCCCGATTCGTCGACTCCTACGACATGCTTGCTGGGAAGGCAGTGGGTTTGTTCTTGTTTTTCAAATAATAG